GGACGATAATGTGGCCGATCCTTTGACTAAACCTCTGCCTCAAGTGAAACACAACAAACACGTTGAGGCAATGGGAATCAAGCATGTTGGAGACTGGCTTTGATATTCCTTGTACAAGTGTTTTAATTAAACAGGGTTGATTTAATGTAAGACACTGTACTAAAACCATTCATTAATGGAGTAATTAATTTTTGTGCAAAATTATCATTCACTCCATTACTATTTAATTGTGGTTTAGAATTAAATAATGAGTCCATTCGATTTACGGAAATATTCAAAACAGGGTATCAAGACAATGTCTTGGATAAAGAAACACCTGTTAAGTGAACATTGAATATTAAATCGAAAAGTATCCCTAATCGAGGTCGTCTAACAGATGGACGATTGATGACCACAATAGATTAGTGTGTAGTATGATTTACAGCACCGTTTCTTGTGCTGCGAGGACGTGACAGTCATAAATCATTTGCACAGGTACAGTTTAGAACTGTACTGGATAAGACCTATGAGAGTACTTTAAGAAAATTAAAATTTTGTCATAAGTACATTTCTCATTATGGCTATCGGAACTTATTTCCTCAGACCATGAGTACTGTGAAGTTTTCTTGTTTGAGTACTAGGCTCTTTGATGTTTCCTAACGTCTGCCGTAACTGGGGATCATAACGGGAACACTCGGGAGTCTATGTCCTCTTAGTAAGAAGAACTTACAATACAAGACTGGGATTGTCCCCCTACTAACAATAGGGAAAATGTTTTGTTGTTTAAAAGGCCGCTCGAAGGTAAGACTGTAAAATGCATGGCCATGCTCAGATGGATTTTAGAAATCATCTGCTTATTTGACAGTCAAACTCGGAGATCGAGAAACACTTCTGAACGTAATAAGGATGACAAAGAATCTTACCTTATAGTTCACGAAGAAACATTAAGAGACAAAGGAAATGAGCTATACATAATGTGCACACTTGTCCGGAAAGACAAGTGGGAGATTGAAAGGAATGATGTCCTTCCAACAAGTGTATTATTCCGATAGAGGGTTCAGAATTATTATAGAGGTAATTCTTCAGTAAGGTCAAGTGATCGGAATGCCTAGGTGGAGGCCGCTTCCGATCAGTAATATCAGGATACAATTGATATTACAGCTTAATCTTAACTGAACCCTTCGGGTCGAACCCAATCGAATATCCGATCCGAGACGTCGAATTAATCCGAAAGGATTTAATGAGTCGACAGAGTTTTACGAATACAGACGTCGGAAGTTGAGCCTAGGGCGTCGAGACCGAGCGTCGCAAAATCACAATCGACAAGCATGAGCGTAGCATAGCTAGGCTAGGCTAGCTCATCATAGTCACTAGGCGCGCCACGGCAGCCTTAGCATGATGGCTAGGCACCATGGCTGGTTGTCGCTAGCACCAGGCGCGCCAGCACAGCCCTAGCATCATGCCTAGGCGCTATCGCAGCCCTAGCATGATGTTAGGCACCATCGCAAGCCAGCAGCCCAATCGTAGGGCCTATACGCATCACTAGGCGCACCATGCGTGGCCTAGGATGGCTGGGCGCCATCGCAACCCAAGCAGCATCACTAGGCGCACCATGCGTGCCCTAGGATGGCCTAATGCCATAGCAGCCCTAGCATAGTGCTGGGCGCATGGCAGGACCACACGCACCAAGCACACCTAGTGCTAGGCACTGGCGCATGCGTGGTGCGTGGTGCCTGGGCGAGGCATGTGCGTGCATAGGGCGCAGTGCCGAGGCTGATGCGTAAGGGAGTGCAAGAGTATGTGCGAAGGGCTGGGAAGCTAGCAAGCAACGTCAAGCCAAGCATGCGTGGCTCGCTAACAGCACGCATGCTAGGCATTGTGTGCGAGAGAGATGCGTGGTGCGCATGGTATAGGAGTGCGGTGCGTGGCAAGAGGCCAGCATGCGTGGCTCGCTAGCAGCACGCATGCTGGGCCATGAGAGTAGCAAGGATGCGAGGGATGCTGGCAGCAGCGCCAGCACGCACCAGCGCCAGCGCCAGCACGCACCAACGAGCATCAGCGATGCTGCTGGGCTTGTGCTAGCATGCTAGGCTAGCTGGCACAGCCAGTTGGCACGCTAGCTGGAAGCTGGGCAGCATGCTATGGTGAGGCGGTTTGTGAGGAGAGTGGGGACCAAGGCTTTGGGAAAGCCTTGGGGAGCAAGGCATTGGTCCCCCCCCCACCTTTCCATGGTCCTCACCTAACACTCTCTCCCTCCTTGACACTTGTCAAATTGTGATTGCATTTGTTTATTGATTTATTTTAGAAATAAATTAATTAGCAAAATTCATTCTCCCACATTGGTGGAGGATGAAATATCAAGGGATCATTTCCCTATAAATACCAAGCTTGGTATTGGGATTTGAAATAACCTTGAGTGGATTTAAAAAGGCAACTCTAGAAAAGAGTAAACCTTTGATTCGTAAAACTCATAGTTATTTTGTCCGGGTCTTGACTAACCTTCAAGACTTAGGACGCTCGGGTCGGGTCGAGGGTACGATCCGTCGGAGATCTCGTCTTTTTGGGATTTTGAAGTAAGAGCTCATTGGGAGCGAAGCACGCGTCAAAGGTATAATTCTTGTCCTTAATCTTGTTTGATTAAGTTAATTATGCTTGCTTAATTGCTTTAATTAAGGGGCGGGTCTTGGTGGGTTTCCTTCCGCGTAGTGTCGGGTCACTACGAAACCCTACATGGACTTCACCAGATAAGACTTCAGAGCCCCCTCGTCAGCCAGACGGTCTAATAGCCGCCTGAGGCTATAGCAACCATTGGTGTCGTGGCCGACATCATGATGGAAGTGATAGTACTTGCTCTTGTCTCTGTTCTTGATAGAGCTCTTCATTGCAGCCGGTTTTTCAAGGGTCAACCGGTCTTTTATCTCCGTGAGGATGGAGGAGCAGCCCTTGTTGAACTCGTACTTGGGGACGTACGGCTCCAACTTTCTTTGTTTCTTCTGGGACGGCTGACTAGTGCGGTCCGCTGCCCAGACTTCTTTTCTTTTCTTCTTTTTTTGCCGGTTGAGTAGGCCGGCTGTCCTTCTTGTCGGACCTCCTGGGTTCCGACGAGTGCCTGACGGCATAGAGTTTCGTCGCCTGTATATAGGCTTCGGCCTCCATTAACGCCTCTTGGAGGGTAGCAACCCTCTTGCGGACCAGGTCAAACTTGAAGGTTGACCCATCCTCTAAACCCTTGAAGAAGTTTGTATATGCAACTTCATCAGACAGCCCTTGAATCTGAATTCTCATCAGATTAAACCGCCTGACATAGGACCGTAGTCCCTCCTTGTCTCCCTGCTGGATAGCCACTAGGTCGAGACTTGTCTTTTTGGTAGGGATGTTCATGGAGAACTTGGACGCAAACAGGTATGTAAGCGTCTTAAAGCTGTTGATACACCCGGCTGGCAGGTTGCCAAACCATCGTTGGGCTATGCCCTTCAGCATAGCCGGGAAGCATCGGCACCAGGCGGCATCATCCAACCCCTGTAGGTACATGAGGTTGGTGTATGCCATTAGGTTGTCCTCCGGGTTAGTGGTACCGTCGTAGGTACCTACCAAAACATTTTTAACCTTGGCCGGCTGTGCCGCCTCGGTTATCTCCCGGGAGAAAGTCGAAGGTTGTTCCCCTAGGTTTAGCAGCTGGAGCTGCCAGTCCATAGGCTGGACTTGATGTGCCGCCTGACCTCCAAAGGGGGACGACTGAATGTATGGTGATCCATACGACATGTATGGCTGTTGGGGCACATACGGAGCCGGCTGGATGATATGAGGGCCAGTACGTGCGGACATGTCGCGTGACTGACTCCCTTGATGCGTCTGGGTAAGTCGACGTTGAGGCCGACCTAGACATTTGCTGACTTCTCTTCTCCTGGATGAAAGTCCGGGCGTCAGAGAAAGTCTTCTTTGACCCATCCGGCTGTGTTTACCGGATGGCCTTCCTTTGCCCTGATTCAGGGAAACGAAGTTTTGAGAGGTCGATCAGGGGCCCATCCGTCTCCTTGGGTTTGGGGTGAGGGGTAGGCACCCGGTCTTTGATTTGCTTCTTCCTGGAGGGAGATGACTTCTTTGCCGACTGACCCTTGTTTGAGCCAGTTGACTTTTTGATGATGTCCTTTATTTCCCCCTTGAAACTCGTCATGAATTTCATGAGCTCGTCTCTAGTGACGGGGGCAGCACCCTCCGTCGCCTGGGGTTGCCCAGCAGGCTTGCCGCCTGGGTTGCTGGGTCCAACTTTGTCTTGGCCCCGTTCCCTTGTTTCCTTGGAACGGATGCGCCTTTTTCGGAGTGACCCGTCTGGGGCCACATAAGTGTCGACCTCATAGTCGTCACTGCTATCATGGTCCGTATGGACCTCAGGTTGAGCCGTAGGCCGGCTGCCTTCTACAGGCGGTACAGTATCAGATGCCATCTCAGAAGTACTCTCCCCACAGACGGTGCCAAATGTTTCGGGGGTTTTTTGGAGTCCCTTGGGAGAGTTACAATCCTAAGTATGCACGCCTGACGTCCGTACCTGCAAAACCACGATACTCCGGTTGGGTGGAGTTCCGCCTCCGACGATCAAGTTAGTATGATTTTGGATGGGTAAAAGTGAGGAAAGTAAATGGGTTTTTCTCCCTGATTAAGAGAGATTCCGCAATTAAGATTGCTCAGTTTTTGGTGTATATGTTTATGGATTTTTGTGTGTGTAATAAATGAGGAATTTCCCCTTGCAGATGAGGATCTGCTCCCCCTTTGGGAATACAATGCCACGTGTCAGCATCCGATTGGATCCCGTTGGGCCTCTGGTGGACTGCCACGTGTCATCATGCTACTGGGCCACGTGGCATAGGTATTTTTACCCTAAACACTAAGGTTTACTAAATTATTTAAAAATTTATCTAGCGATCTAATTATAACACTTAAAAAAAAAAGGAAGTAAATATGTTTGTTTATTAAACTTAATAACTTATTCTTGGTTATAAATAAATAAAATTCTAAAGAAAATAAAAGGAAACATGTATCCAAAAAAAGAATAAATAAAAAAGAAAATAAAAGGAACAAAAGCATACGAAGTACTTAGATCATAGCCTTATTACAAGCCTTACACATATAGTAACAAAAAGGGAAAGAAGCCCCAACAATGAAAAGTAGCTTCGTATCCTCCGCCATTATTTCCCCAAAAAGAAATAAAAAAAACCCACCAAATCTTTCATAGACATATCCAATTTCAACGATTAAAAAATAATGGAAAAAATATTCTTTTCATGATTATCTTCATGATAATTTCGGAGAATTTTGTTCTAAAATAAGGGAATTTTCGAAACTGAACCAGCCTCAAGATTTGAGAGGGAAAATTTTATTTCATCTTTATCAAATTTTCCTCCCAAAATTTTACCCTAAGCAATTTCAAAAATTAATCTTACTGAACTTTTGGACGAGCGAAGCAAATCGAAGTAAAATAGCGATTGGAATTAGCGGCCGAATTTGATCTGTCAGAGTACATATCACTGTCCAAGGTAATTAATTTTTTTAATTATCAATAGAAGTAATTTTGTATGGTTATTTTAAGTTATCTTGAATCTAAGGGTTTCATAATTTTTAGATTGAACTGCGAATGTAGGGTTATTATTAATAATTTTTAGATTGAACTACTTTGATTGTCAAATTGAAATTGAATGCTATAAAGAACTTTGATGTTTATTATCTACTATATTATACAATAAGGGAAGTTTTGATTAAAGTATAACACTATTTAAAAATATAAAAATATAAAAATGTATAATAGGGGTTGAATTTGGTGAAAATATTGTTGGGAGTAATGCAAGTCCAACGATTCGATAAGTCGATTGTATAAAGCTATTTTAATGTTAAGCTTCTTGATCCCATATGCCTTGTCGGGCGGACATGCCCTGGGGGGTAGGGCGGTGAGAAGAAGGCTTGTCATCGAAGTAGTATACTCCGTGTTAATCTTACACATGCCCTGTCGGGCGACTATGCCCTGGCAGATCGGGCGGTGCTTAGGAACACTTCGTATTAAATCTTGTCCTGCATGCCCTGTCGGACAGTCTTGCCATGGCAGACCGAGGGGAGCTTAAAACCGGTGTTTTTGGATTGTGCTTCTCGCGCTCGACCGGACGGGCCTTTGGCCCGACCTGGCAAGGCTTCGAGAACATGTTTTTGACTGGGTTATGATCCGTAGTTTTATTCCTTTTCATAACCTATAAATACCCTTAAGCTATTAATTATACTTGAGAGACGGAAAACACAGAGTATTGTGAAACCCTAAACACAAACCCTTTCTTATAGATATATGAGGAGTTCTTGAAGTAATTCCAACCTTCCAATCGTGGTACAGAGTTGGAAGGTAGCTGTGTTACCCTTGGGGAGCATTCGTCACTGAGAGCCTCGTACCGGTGGTGGTGAAATACGCTTCTAGGACAGCCATAAAACGCGGCACAGCTTATATGAGATCTACAATGGATTATCGTATTTTTTCCCTAATTTCTCTATTATTTTCATGGTTACAACATCATATTTCCAACAAATACATGTAGATTAATGATTTGTGTGAGAAAAAGAAGACAGAAGAATAAACAACATATAACAGTATATTGTGTGAGAAAAAAGTGAGCTTAATCGACGAAATCGATGGTGAGTTTGCATATCAAATAGTTGTAAACATAGGAGGATATGTATTGTTCAAAGGGGTTATATGTGATAAGGACTTAATCAACCGCACCAAGTTAATACCCCTAGCCCAACATATAATGATTTAGCAATTTGTGAAGGCTAATGATGATTTAAATAGCCTAGAGTAAGGTCAGAAGAATACATGATTTGGGTTGTTATTATATATGTATTGTTCAAGCTTTATTTAGTTTTTGTATACCCTCCATTTAGAATATGATCTATTTAAATTTTTGGTTGTTATAAATAAAAAGTACGTAATATTGTATCATTCTTACTCTGTAACAAGTCAACAACTTTAGATAAAGTAACATATGACCATCCAAATAGTATCTTTTGTTGGAAGGTCATATTAATCAAATACATGTGCATACAATTTTATTTTGTTTCAATTTTCTTTAGGTGTCAATCAAGCACTCTGAAATGAACACATTCAAACACATTCAAAAAGTGATGAAGTTCCTATTACTGAAGTGGCAAAAGAAACTCTGGTAAGAAATAATAGTCTATATAATGTATATATAATTAGTGTGTAAAAGTGATTATATCTAGTGTTAAAAAAGTTGATGAAGTAATGTAAGTAATAATCACTTTTAATATCTGTTATAAATTTTGTTATTTATGTTTATTGCAAAAGATAAGAGTAATACTAATAATAAAATGTGGAGGTGATTTCAGTAGTAGTGTTGTTATTGAAATAATGTTGGAGTTGTATTATGCTTATTATGTGACAAGGCAGGTTGAAAAGGATTTTAATAAAATTTGGTTTTAGTCATATTACAAAGGAGATGCTGCCAAAATTTTGGTAGAAACTAAGATAAATGTTATAAGCTATCTAATAGTATAAATAAAAACTTGTGACCTGTTTTTTTTTTTAAATTTCTTTTTTATTTTGCTAGCATTAATTTAATATGTAATTTCCCTCTTTTTATAATTCTTACATAATTATTTTTTATGTGAAGTCAAAAATTAAGGAGCTTCTAGTGCAACATAAAGATGGAGAAATACATATGACAGATGAAGAAATCTATGCTAAAGTTAAGCCCATTGGTAAGCGTGGTCGTCATCGTAGCAATGGAGTAAGTCCTTATATTACATCATTATATGAGACATTTAGTGAAGGAGAAAAGTTACGCAAAGAAGCTGATGAGGCAAAGAATGAGGCAATAGAGGCTAAAAAAGAGGCAAAAGAAGCCAATGTGAAAAATAAGGCCCTGACTAAAAAGATGGGAGGACTTCAGAAGGAAATGGAGGTTATGAAAGGTTTCATAGGAAACATTTTGAACCATCTAGGTTATGATTTGTGTGAAATAAATATGGATGAGGTATATTTCATTATTTAATATCGTTACATTATATTTGAATTAATTTTTTTATTTTTTTTTTATATTTGTCATTGCATATAAGTTATGAAATTATAGGTTAATGAAGGTGAGGATGAAGATGAGGGTGTTGATGAGGATGAGGATGAAGAAATGCAAGCAGATCAAGAGGAGTAGTACTACTTATTTTTAAATCATTGTAAGTTTTAGTAAAATTAATTTTAATATTTATTTATGATCATTGAAATTTTATTTATTTATGCATTATGAGTAATGCTTATTTCAGTTATTTTTCATCATTGCAACAAATATTTTATTCCATACTTTTACAATGACAGGATATTATACCATGAAGATGGCTAGAGAAGTAGAGATCGAATTAAAAGCAATTGTATGATGTCTTTTTTTCAAGCTTATAGTTCTAAATGAAACCTCTTTGTTATTTCACATTATCAATATTTTATAACTAGTCACGTAATTGTTTTGAAGCTAAGTTACATAGGAATAACTTAAATACATTTTTGGGATCAATTATGTAATGACGTACTATTAAATTATAGGAAATTTGCTTTTAATAATCCCACCTTTGATCGGTTCGCTGTGAATAATCCCACCTTTATACGACATTCTCTTCTACTGGTCCCTTGTGACCGGTAACCTGAACGTTGGGTTTTTTTTTTTTTATAAAATTTTTTACTAAATGACATGTGTCACTACACGAGCGGATAAAAAAAATATAAAAACTAAAAAAATCATAAAAAAAATATTTAGGGCCACAACACTTCACCTCCTTATTCGCCACCTCCCTCCTCACGCACAACCCACACAACCACAACAACCACCGCACTTTCTGAGTAGCTACCCACAACACTTCACCTCCTTGTTCGCCACTCTCCCCCTCACAGCCCGTACTCCCTCAACATCAACAGCGCAAAGCGAATAGTTACAACTCAACCACCCCAATCACACATCTCAACCACCGTCGCGCCACCCATGCAACACTTACGCACATCAATGCCAACCTAAATTCGATCACCCAGCAAATTGTGATTATTGAAGCATTGCAACCCCAATGTTTGCTTCACCATCGCACCATTTAATTCACCCATACTCCCTGCAATTAACAAGAGCAATTAACAAGAGCAGACGGTTTTCGTTGGGTGAGGGTGGGGAAGGGGGTTCCAGTAGTGGGAGGTGGGGAGGGGATGGATGTCGGAGGGTTTGGGCTAGGGTGGTGTGGGGGTTTGCGGTTCGCTGGTGGGTTACTTTTGTTAATTTTTTTTATTTTTAGTTTTTTTTTAAAAAAAATTTTATTTTATAAATCTATCAACTAATCATAAAGTGATACGTATCATTTTAACTTGTTAAAACTGGTTACCAACAGGTAAAGGACCAATAAAAGAGAATGCACTATAAATGTGGGATTATTAGATAATAATCAAAAGTGGGATTATTAAAAACAATTTTTCCTAAATTATAAATAAAATCATTTCAATTTGATTCAATGAAATCAACATTGTTAGTCATGATTTTCTTTGGCTTTACTTATGTTATATTAACATGGTCAATCACTATAAATGATTTGCCTATAAATCTACAACGAAAAGTATATCATAAAATTGGATATTGTATGAATAAATTTCTATATATCTAGATTCAATAATTTAGAGGCATCATATATTATGTATTAAGCCTCCAAAAATCATCCACATCAAATTATTTATTTGCATCTAAATATCATTAGCATTAATATACGAAATGCATCTAATTATATTTTGAGATAAAATGATATGATTACCCCTAAATGTATATGGTATTTGGAAGCAAATTTATATGATGTCTCTAATTATATTTTGAGGCAAAATTATATGGTTGCCCTTGGTTATATATGGTATTTTGAAGCAAACTTTTATAATGCCTCATTATATTTAGAGGCAAGATTATATGGTTGCCTCTAAATATAAGGGCTTTAAAAAGCTATACATTGTATTGCCTCTAAACGAGGCTTTACAGGCATGCCATCAATTAGCGACAGACTTATTAGAGGCACTTAAGTTGTTGCTTCTAAAAGTAATAGAGGCTATATCACTATCATTGAGGCATTTTTTTTATTGCTTCTATAAATGATTTTTCTTTTTTTTTTAGTGAAAGAAACCTGGTGCCGCTGGCTCTTGGAGTGTTTGAAAAAGGACCTTGGTGATGTTGCTGAAGGTGGTGGTTGGACATTCATGTCTGACAGACAAAAGTGGTAGTCTTTGCCCAAATTTGCTGATTTAAAGGAACTAATATGTTAGTTATTTGTGCACTAATGTAATGACCTTAGTATGTCCAACAGGGTTTGCTTGAAGCCTTTGAATTTCAAGTTCCATTTGTTGAAAAGAAGTATTGTGTGAGGCATATATGGGCCAATTTCAAGTTTCAATTTAGTGGATCAACCTTCAAAGAGCTTTTCTGGAATGTTTCTAGGGCTATAACATTAGTGAGTCACTAAACTTATGTGATCAAGTGAATCTGATGAACTGAGTTGAATGTTTGATTTATTCCAATTAGTTTAAAGTGAGTGTGTTTACTGTGAGGCTTAATTTTCATTACCGTCAAGCATGATATATCTCTACAAAAAAACAAGGCACATTTTGACGCTTTTTGTACATATATTGACCTTAAAAAGCATCATAATTTTCTATTTTGGCGCTTTAAAAAGCGTCAAAATCTTTGAAGCCAAAATATTTTGACGCTTTTTATGTCAATTTTCAAGTATAATATGTCACTTTTGTGTGTCATTGCTAAATTATTATGACACTTCTTTGTGTCATTGCTAAAAAATTATGACACTTTTTTGAGTCATTACTAACAAATTATGACGCTTTTTTGTGTCAAATTGGGGGCATGTACTTTCCTCCATTGTTAATGTCCTAAAAAATGTGACGTTTTTGTTAGTCATTGTTAAAAAAATTGTGACACTTTTTTGTGTCAAAGTGATGATATATTATTTCCACCAATTTTAATACCCACCAATAACTTTGATGCACGAAACCATCACTATTTCCACTCTATTTTTTTTGGACGAAAATTGATAAAATTAAGTTAATGAAGTATAAAACTTTGAACAAACAAAATAATAATATATAAAATGATAATTGATGAAAATGTATTTACAAAAAGTAAATTATATAAACACACACAGTACACACATATATACATATATGTATGAATCCGTTGACATAATAACATACATTATATATATCCAATTCAACTAAACAAGTCTAGTATTTGAATACAGAGATATATAGATATTTTCCTAAAAATAATATTCATAGTAATTACACACAACGCTATCAAAGCTACTAAATACCTTAACATATATAATAAGTTATCAAGTATGATGTGCTTAAAGCCAAATCACGCTCTTGATTTACTTTTTACCATTGTTGCCTACATCATCAACCCGCGAAGAAAATTTGATATGTGAACAATTATTGTAGTAACAATTATTATAGTAATAGTATTGCAAATTTGGAGAACACTAGTAGAAAAAAGTAAATGGGAAGCGGTTCAAACCCCCGAATGGGAAGCGGTTTAAACCCCCTAATGGAAAGCGGTTTTGAACCTCTCGGGTTCGGGAGGCTTCCCATTGCCCATTTAAATGGCAAGCGGTTCAAACCGTTTCCCATTTGGAGAGAATGGGAAGCGGTTTTGGCGCCAAACCGCTTCCCATTTGCATTTCACAAATGATATGTGAAGTGTAATGGGGAGAGATTTTGGCGCCAAACCGCTTCCCATTTCAATTTTTTTTTTTCTCGACAATATTATTAATAATTATAATATAATAATAATAATAATTTCAGTGACCTGTCATAATATTAATAGTGACCTCTCATAATAATATTAATGTTTTAATTAATAATAATAATATTAATATGATTAATTAATAATAATAATATTAATATTAACAATCAATAATATAATTAATAAAAATATTAATAATTACAAATAGTAATACAATAATAACATGAAATAATTATAATAAAGTAACACCATTAATATATTTATTAACAACACTACTCTCAAATAACAATAACAATAAAATTTAATTACTTCAAAATATATAAAGATAATATTCACAAATATTACCTACTAATTATAATTAATGTTAATGTATAAAAAACTTAACTAATATAATGTTCATAACTAAACTCAAGCCGACTAATTTGGTGTGTGTGCACCCCACTCCGACAATTCTAGAAACCATCAAACGTCACGAAAAAAGTCCACATGTTGCGGATTTCATTAATTTCGTTGCTTGTTAATGGGCCTTCCCTTTGAATCTTGCAAACCTTAAAAGAAAAAAAAAAATCAAACATTATCATGTGTATTACAAATATTCAAAAAATGTCCAATATTTCAAAGGCTATATATAGGCTTGTTTCTTTAACAAACTTGTATGTCATTGACAAATTTAGGAAGCTAAAGTAAGACCTTTATTTCACATAAATGACCAAATATGACAAGTTTAAGTACAAGCAAATACAATATATAGGGTTTTCAGGCAAAATTGGCTTCAACCTTTCCCGTTTTTTTATCTAGCGTACAAATGAAGGAACAAACACTTGGTTTACATCATGTACGTGTATGTTTGTAAATTTATTGCTAAATATGACATAGAAGTGATAAGTAGATAAGTTTTAGAACAAGAGAGAGCCACAAAGGCCAAAAATGTCTTGTTCTTTTCCCAAATTTGTATCAAATAGTGAAATAGATGAACGAACACCTTTATCATGTCAAATAACATAAGTTTTGTGTTATGGAGGGCTTGTATGACTTAAAACTCCTTAATTGACAACATTTAGGACAATCTAGAACAAAAAAGCACGAAAACAAACCTAAAATGACTTCTCTCTTTCCCATTTATGTGTTCCTTAGTGAACTAAATGAAGTAACACCTTACGTGACATCAGCTATGATTACTTTTGTGACTAGAATACTTTACTTCACATAAATGAGCAAATATGACAAGTTTAAGTACAAGTTAGAACAATAAATAGGGTTTTTAGGCGAAATTGGCTTCATCCTTTCCTTTTTTAATTTTTTTTGTACAAATGAAGGAACAAACACTTGTTTTACATCATATACGAGTATGTTTGTTAACTTATAGCTAAATATGACATAGATGTGATAAGTAGATAAGTTTTAGAACAAGAGAGAGCCATAAAGGCCAAAAATGTCTTGTTCTTTTCCCATTTGTGTATCAAATAGTGAAATGGATGAACAAACACCTTTATCATGTCAAAAAACATAACTATTGTGTTATGGAGGCCCTGTATGACTTAAAAGTCCTTAATTGACAACATTTAGGATAATGTATAACAAAAAAGCACCAAAACAAGTGTAAAATGGCTTCTCTCTTTCTCATTTCTGTGTTCAATAGTGAACTAAATGAAGTAACACCTTACATGACATCAACTATGATTACTTTTGTGATTAGAAGACTTTATTTCACACAAATGAGCAAATATGACAAGTTTAAGTACAAGTTAGAACAATAAATAAGGTTTTTGGGCGAAATTAGCTTCATCCTTTCCCCTTTTTTATTTTTCGTACAAATGAAAGAACAAACACTTGGTTTACATCATATACGAGTATGTTTGTGAATTTATAGCTACATATGACATAGATGTGATAAGTAGATGAGTCAGAACAACATTTAGAAACAAGGGGCTCAAGGTGCGTAGTAGGATAACTGTGCGTCAACTGGTACTTTATCCTTTGCACTTGCAAACTATCCTGATGAAGCCACAAGAGTGAAACCACTATTTTGAGTCGATGAGGATTTCTAATCCTGACGCTCAGTCCAGAATGTATATTCATTTATGTCATATCCCTTATATGAATGAACATCTTCCTTTGGACCATAAGCTAGCCACTTTATTGTATCAGAGAAACTCTCATCCAATTGACGCATCACTCTATCATGGAACCACGTCACAAACATCTTATTATGCAACTGCATTAGTGCCCTTTCCTCTTTTGATGGAAATTTGACACACAAACTATCCATGTGGTCTTCTAAATATGGGTGAACCTTCGCAACATGGTGAAACACAAATAGGTGAGCTTGCAAGAACTGATCTTGAATAGGTGAGATTGGTTTCGACCCGATTGTGCCATGACCATCAAGTCTCTCTTCATGTCGGGAAGTGGGAAGCCCAATAGGTTCAACAACGGCAATATACTCTGCCATGAAATTGCCAATCTCCTTAGCCACAGTCCCTTGAATCATACTACCTTCCGGATAGGTTGGATTTATGACTTTTTCTTGTAATGTACCCATGTTTCTTTCAAAAGGATAACACCACTTCATAAAGACTGGACCGCACAACTTAATCTCACGAACCAAATGAAGAATCAAATGCACTATCATATAAAAAAATGACGGCGGGAAATACATCTCAAATTTGCATAAAGTTACAACAACATTCTCTTGGAGAGAATCAAGTGTAAAAGGATCAAGCACTTTGCTGCATATAGTATTGAAAAACGAACAAAGGCTTGTAATAGCTTCTCTCACATGCTTCGGTAAAATACCACGAATTGCAATCGTTAGGAATACTTATATCATCATGTGACAATCATGGGATTTTATACTTGTCAACTTCAATTCTACATTTTAGGAAACAAATCTTTTCATGTTTGACGAGAATCCAGATGAAACCTTAATGTCATACAAACAAGCAAAAAACTTTCGTTTTTCTTCCTTTAACAATGTATAGTAAGTTGGAGGTAAATAAACCTTCATTCTTGCCTTTTCCATCATCTTTTTTCTTTGATACACCCTTAGCCTTTCCCTTACGCTTCCCCTTATGTTGTTTTCCACCATCTTCGTTTCCCTTTTCCTTTACCTTTGCCTTCCCTACCTTTGGCTGAACCCATAATTCCGAACGAACCCCCTAGACTTCCAAATCTAATCGCGCACCATTTCCATCCTTTGTTTTGCCTTGAATGATCATAAGTGTCCCAACAATTGCATCACAAACATTCTTCTCTATATGCATCACATCAAGACAACGTCTAACATCATGTTTGTTTAGGGTAAAAATACCCTATGCCACGTGGCCTAGTAGCATGATGACACGTGGCAGCCCACCAGAGGCCTAACGGGATCCAATCGGATGCTAACACGTGGCATTGTACCTCCAATGGGGGAGCAGATCCTCATCTGCTATAAATAGAGGAAATTCCTCATTTATTACGCATTCATAAATACAAACACAAACACAAAACCCGAGAAATATTAATTGCGCAATCTCACTGAATTAGTGAGAAAAACCCATTTACTTTCCGCCCGTTTACCCATCCGGATTCATACTAACTTGATCGTCGGAGGCGGAACTCCACCCAACCAGAGTTTCGTGGTTTTTCAGGTACAGACGTCAGGTGCGAATACTCAAGATTGTAACTCTCCCGAGGGGCTCCAAAAACCCCCGAAGCATCTGGCGCCGTCTTTGGGGAGAGTACTTCTGAGATGACATCTGATATTGTATTGCCTGTAGAAGGCAAACGACCTATGGCTCAGCCTGAGGTCCATACGGACCATAATAGTAGTGAAGACTATGAGGTCGACACTTACGTGGCCCCAGACGGGTCACTTCGGACAAG